GGGAGGCATTTGTCAACGTCTTCCAAGACAAGTTTCTACCTCCCACAGTTAGGGAGAAGTTAAGAGACCAGTTTTCTAAGCTGGTGCAGTTGAACACACCAGTGGATGAGTTTGAAGCCACATTCACTAGCCTCTCTATGTTTGCTCCTGAGCTTATGGCAACTGAGGAACGCCATTGTCTGGAGTTTAAGAAGCGATTAAGGACTGGGCTCATGTTTAGAGTGGTCAGATCCATGATTAGAGACTGTGGGCGCCTTGTGGAGGCAGCGACCCACCTTGAAACCATTATGCAGGCAGAGGAAGAGATGATGAAGGGCTCTAAAAGGAGTCAGGATAATCAGGAGGACAATAAGAGGCAGAGGGGTTCTATCCTCCAACGGTCCCAGAGAGCTTAGTCAAGGTCCACTTTTCTAATACCGAGTTCGGGTTCTGGGAAGGGTGGCTAGGGAGATTTTACTTGTTTTAAGTGTGGTCAGTTGAGCCACAAGTCTCCAGCTTGCCCGCAGAGAGGAAGAGGGCAGCAAACAGCATCATATTCGGCTCGTTCTCAGGGCCAGAGTCAAGGGAGAGGGCAACCGCTCAAATGTTATTAGTGTGGAAAGGCAAGGCATTCGAAGAGATTTTGTCCACAGTTGGATGGTACATCTGGTGCGTCTAATTCAAGGTAGGCACAGAGCCACCAGCCGGCACAGTCAGCATAGGCCTCGAGAGCCAATCAGGGAGCCTTTTCGGCTTAGTCAGTGCATCAAGCTTATGCTCCGAAGGGTGAGCAGGTTGAGTAGAGGCCTACAAGGCATGTGTTTGCTATTACAGTGCCAGATTTTGCACTTGCTCCTTCTGTAGTGAGAAGTACCTTCTTGTTTTGCAATTCAGTTACAATGTATTGATTGATACAGGTGCATCCCATTCTTTTACCTCGTCTGTATTTATATCGGTTTTCAGGTTAGAGTTGGCTCAATTAGAATCTTCTATCTGTGTAGAGTCACCTATCGGTGGTGAAATTATTTTGAAATAGGGATGTCGGGGTTGTGACATAGAGGTTGCCGATCGTCGACTTTCATTTGCATTTGTATTGACTAACATGTCTAGTTTTGATGTTATTTTGGGTATGGACTGATATTCGTCATACCGGGCTATTATAGATTGCTACCGTCAGAGGGTTACTGTAAGTACCTTGAGCTGTGATTACTTTTATTTCTTGGGAGACCAGGGTGAATAGAGTCTTATCACCAGTATATGGTCTACATGAGCGAAGTGAACTTAGTTGCCTTCTTGCTAGCTTCTTAAGTAGTGAATGTGATGAAGTCCAGGTTGAGTTGCCAAGGGTGGTTTGTGAATACCCCAATGTCTTTCCCGAAGATCTTATTAGTTTACCACCTCACCAAGAGATCAAGTTCTCTATTGATTTAGTGCTTGGCACGACACCGATTTCTATGGTACCGTATAGATTCGCACTTGTTGAATTGAGTGCATTGAAGATTCAACTCCAGGAATTGCTAGATAAGGGTTTCATCTGCCCTAGTACTTCACTTTGGGGAGCGTTGGCTCTTTTTGCTAAGAAGAAAGATAGAGCATTACGACTTTGTATAGACTACCAGAAGTTGAACCGGGTAACTATTAAGAACAAATACCCAATGCCTCGTATAAATGATTTGTTTGATCAATTGAAGGGGTCTTGTTGCTTCTATAAGATAGACCTGAGATCGGGTTATCATCAGTTGAGGATAAGGGAGGAGGATACCACGAAGATGGAGATGACCATTACAAGTTTCTAGTGATGCTTTTTGGGCTAACCAATGCTCCAACTGTGTTTATGGATTTGATGAATCAGATCTTCCGTGAGTTCCTAGACGGTTTTGTGGTTATCTTTGTGGCCGACATCTTGATTTACTCACCTTCTGAGGAGGAGCACGAGGAACACTTGTGAGTGGTGCTTGAGTTGCTTAGAGCCCATAAGGTGTATACTAAGTTTGAAAAGTGTGAATTCTGGCTGAGGGAAGTTAAGTTGTTAGGCCATGTAGTATCCGAGGATGGGGTGACTATAGATTCATCCAAGATAAAGGCAGTGCAAGATTGGGCACAACCTAAGAACGCTTTTGAAATTCATAGTTTCTTGGGGTTGGCCACGTATTACCGTCGGTTTGTGAAGGATTTCTCTAAGCTAGCCTCACCTTTAACTAGGTTGACGAGAAAAGGAATCAAATTTGTGTGGAGCGAGACTTGTGAGAAGTCATTTCAAGAGCTTAAGGTTAGACTTATCACTGCTCTAGTCTTGATTATTCCAAAGAGGGGTTTGGGCTATTCGGTATATTATGATGCCTCACGAGAAGGTTTGGGTGTGTAATGATGCAAGAGGGGAATGTAGTAACCTATAGCTCACAACAGTTGAAGACACTTGAGAGGAATTATCCTACCCATGACCTAGAGTTAGCAGTAGTGATATTTGCCTTGAAGATTTGGAGGCACTATCTGTATGGTGAGAGATTTGAGGTGTTTTCTGATCACAAGAGTCTGAAATATCTGTTTACACAGAAGGACTTGATCTTAAGGCAGAGAAGGTGGCTGGAGTACATAGAGGATTATAATTTCGAGTTGCATTATCATCCGGGGAAGGTCAACGTTGTGGCCAATGCTTTGAGTAGGAAATCAATTAGCAGTGTAGCTTGTATCACCATCCGAGAATGGGAGATGTTGGGTTCTCTTAATCAGTTTGACTTGCACATTAGCAAGTCTGTTGTGTCTGCAGCCTTGTCTTTAGTTGTTGCACAACCTACACTTATGAACCGAGTGTTAGAGGAGTAGAGGGGTGACCTTGAGGTGTAATCCCTCCGAAAGAAGATCTCCAGTGGAAAGGTAGAAAGAGGCTTGACTATGTATTTCGACTAGAGTGTGAGATACCGTAACTGTTTGTTTGTGTCGGAGTCTTGCCGAGATGAAGTACTCCGAAAGTTTCACCATTCATGCCTTGCGGTGCATCCAGGGGGCACAAAGATGTATCACGACCTTAGTTGCCAGTTTTGGTGGAGGGGTATGAAAAAGGATATAGCCGTGTTTGTATCGAAGTGCCTTACTTGTCAGCAAGTAAAAGCCGAGCATCAGAGGCCAACGGGTTTGTTGCAACCCTTGCCTATAGCTGAGTGGAAGTGGGAGCATGTCACGATGGATTTTGTTGTTGGCCTTCTGAGGACTCAACGGGGTAATTATGCCATTTGGGTGGTGATTGACCGGTTAACTAAGTCGGCGTATTTTATTCCTATGCGCATAAGCGACTCGGTAGATTACCTTGCCGACCTTTACATCAGGGACATAGTGAGGTTGCACGGAGTCCGTGTTATGATTATTTCAGATAGAGATCCATGTTTTACAGCTTGGTTGTGATAGAGCTTGTAGAGTGGCTTGGGCACTAAACTGACTTTTAGCACAGCGTATCACACTCAGACTGACGAGCAACCCGAGCGTACTATTCAGATCCTTAAGGATATGCTTTGAGGTTGTGTCCTTGTCATGACCCGAACTCGCCCCTAAAAGTTTAGGTCATAACCGGCTAGTAATCCGTAGATTACCGAAGGCCTCAAACGATCATACAAAATATTTATGCTAATGGGGCCATAAATGGAAGCATATAATAAATAGAAGACCATTGAGCTGTGCCAATCATGACCAAAATCATAGGGTTAACCACGTAACACAATTATACAAATACATGCCCATCAAAAATATAAGAGCCAAAGGAAAATTGTACACAATGTTTACAACCCAAGACCATGAAAGCAAAAACATAATAGGGTCAAAGTGTGGTATGAGCCAAGACAAAACTCCATCTCGGAGGCATGGCTCGATTAGGTCACAAAAGGCTCATGAAGCTGACTCTAGGGTTGTGCTCCATGCTGCTGATCACCTACATGTGCATACATAAAATTGGGTGAGTGAAGCTCAATGAGTACTAATGCAGTAAAACAGTGTAAGTCGATGATCATAAGCTTCTCTCAATATCCATAATCATATAAGCCAAGCGACCTCGGGCCCAATCATATAACAAGCGGCCTCGGGCCCAATTATTTAACAAACGGCCTCGGGCCTAATTATTTAACAAGCAGCCTCAGGCCCAATTACTTAACAAGTGGCCTCAAGCCTAATCATTTATCAGGCGGCCTCAGGCCCAATCATTTATCCAACGGCCTCAGGCCCAATTATTTAACAAGCGGCCTCTGGCCCAATTATTTATCAAGTGGCCTCGTGCCTAATCATTTAGCACATGTCATATAATATCAATAAAGTTTCATCATTTCCAATCAATTCATAATGTTGGCATCAATCACCGTTTATAGTTCAAGATACGCAACAGAGAATATATGTGTACTATATTACTACTCACCGCGCATTTGGTCTTGCGGCGTTCTCTCCGGCACTCGACCTTGGTTCAAATCTATGGTTTGCCCCTGATTTCCTTCAAATCCCTAGCTTCATCTTCTTCCTCTCTCTCTAACTCACACTATAGAGCTCTCCAGCACAAAAAGGAACACAAGAGGCCAACATATATGTGACTTAGCTTCTTTTTTAAAAAAAAATTCCAATTTAATCATAACGAATCTTAATCTCACCAAAGGCTCTAAAAATCATGCTAATCATAGATATGAAGTCAGTTTTTGTTTATCGCGCCTTTACGGCTCCCAATTTCAGTTCAAAGTTCTAATTGCAACACATATTCCTACTTTCAATAGATATTTTTCCAAGTTCACATATTTTCCATACTTAAACATGCAAATTCATATCAAACACATAATCACATATATAATTAAGCATAGTACGGGTTGGGTTATCACAGTCTTCCCCCCTTTAGGAAGTTTGGTCCTCAAAACTTGTTTACCTCAAGTTGAAAACAATTCCAGATATCGTTGTCGTATTTCCTCTTCCCGCTCCCAAGTGGCTTGATTCCCATGATGTTCCCTCCATTTCATTTTTACCATTGGGATAGTCTTGTTCCATAGTTGCTTGACTTGTCAATCAAGGATTCGAAGGGGTTTCTCTTCATAAGCCATATCGTCATCTAGCACAACTTCATAATAGTCAATAACTTGAGAAGGGTCCCGAAGGTAGCCTCGCAACATTGATACGTGAAACGCATTGTGCACTTGTTCCATGCCCGGTGGTAAAGCAGTCCGACAAGCCACTGGACCCAGTCTTTCCAAAATCTGAAACGGCTCTATGTACCGAGGTGATAATTTCCCTTTCTTCCCAAATCTTGTGTGCCCTTTTATTGGAGTGACTTTGACAAAAACATGATCCTCAACTTCAAACTCCAAGTCTCTCCTTCTTTGATCCGCATAGCTCTTTTGTCGGCTTTGAGCAGTTTTCAATCTCTGTTGGATGTTTTGAATCTTTTCCGTAGTAACTTGCACAATTTCCAGGCCCAATCAATGACCTATCCCCAACCTCGGTCCAACAAATCGGAGTTCGACATCTTCTCCCATACAAAGCTTCATATGGTGCCATCCCAATGCTGGAGTGGAAACTGTTGTTGTAAGCAAATTCCACCAAAGGTAAATAAGTTTCCCAACTTTCACGGAAGTCTAGAACACACATTCAGAGCATGTCTTCCAACGTCTGTATGGTCCTCTCAGATTGACCATCGGTTTACGGGTGAAATGCGGTACTAAATCTCAACTCCATTCCAAATGCTTTTTGTAAGCTTTGCCACAATCTTGACACAAACTTGGAATCTCTATCCGACACAATGGAAACCAGAACACCGTGCAATCGAATTATCTCAGCAATGTACATTGTAGCAAGTCTATCCGCATTATAAATAGTCTTCACAGGCAGAAAGTGAGCAGACTTAGTCAATCTATCCACAACAACCCATATAGAATCCATACCTCGGGGTGTTCGGGGTAAGCCCACAATAAAATCCATAGTTACGTGCTCCCACTTCCATTCTGGAATAGGGAGAGGTTGAAGTAACCCTGTCGGTCTTTGATGCTCCAGTTTTACTGGTTGACATTGAAGGCACCTTGAAATGAATTCCGCAATTTCTCTCTTCATATTAGGCCACCAAAAAGCTTACTTGAGATCTTGGTACATTTTGGTATTCCCGGGATACATAGCAAACCTGAACTTATGAGCTTCTTCCAAGACTCTTTTTTTAACTTCGGGGACATTAGGAACACACAATCTTCCCTTAAACTTCAACACTTGGGCTTCCAAAGAAAATCCCGGTCTCGGTTTTGCCTCCAACTCATCATATACCTTCTTGAGGAATTTATCCTCCAATTGCCTTCGTTTAATTTCCTCAACAATAGCCGGTTGTGCGGTCATTGCGGCCCACATTCCATCCTGTTCATGTAGCACAATTTCCACCTCCATCCTTTCCTAGTCAAGTAAGAGTTCATTCCGCTCCGTAAGCAAACATGCTAAGTTTCCCGTTGACTTTCTGCTAAGGGCGTCCGCCACCGTGTTGGCTTTACCTGGATGATAATGAATTTACAAGTCATAATCCTTGATATGTTCTAACCATCGTCTTTGTCGCATATTAAGCTCCTTTTGAGTAAAAAAATACTTGAGGCTCTTGTGGTCGGTGTAGACTTCACATGTTGCTCCATAAAGATATTGCCTTCAAATCTTCAATGCAAACACCACTGCAGCTAATTCCAGATCATGCGTAGGATAATTCTTTTCATGTGGTTTCAACTGTCGAGATGCATAAGCAATTACTCGTCCATTCTGCATAAGCACACACCCCAAACCCTTATGAGATGCATCACTATAAATCACAAACCCTTCGGTACCTGATGGTAAGGCAAGGACCGGTGCTGTCGTGAGTCTTGTCTTTAATTCTTGAAAGGCGAACTCTCTTTGTTCTGTCCACTCGAATGGAACACCCTTTTGGGTTAGCTGGGTGAGTGGCACCGCAATCTTGGAAAAATCTTTAACAAATCTTCGATAGTAACCCGCTAAACCCATGTAACTGCGTACTTCTATAACATTGATAGGAGCAGGCCAATTCACAATAGCTTCTATCTTTTGCGGATCAACAAACACACCATCCTTGTTAATTACATGTCCCAAAAACACAACTTCATTTAACCAAAATTCACACTTCTTCAATTTAGCGTATAACTTCTTATCCCTAAGTGTTTGAAGAATTAATCTCAAATGCCTTTTATGATCCTCACTACTCTTTGAATAAATAAGAATGTCATCAATGAATACCACCACAAACTCATCCAAGTACGGTTTGAAAACCCGATTCATTAAATCCATAAAAGCTGCCGGTGCATTCGTAACCCCAAATGGCATGACTAAAAATTCATAATGGTCGTACCTAGTTCGAAAGGCAATCTTCTCAACATCCTCTGCTTTGACTTTCAACTGATGGTACCCAGATCTCAAGTCCACCTTTGAAAACACTTGTGCCCCTTGTAATTGGTCAAACAAATCATCAATTCGTGGTAAAGGATATTTATTCTTTCGTGTTACCTTGTTAAGTTCTCAGTAATCAATACAGAACCGAAGGGTCCCATCCTTCTTCTTCACAAACAAACAGGTGCGCCCCATGGCGATGTACTCGGTCGGATAAACCCTTTGTCAAGCAATTCTTGCAACTGTATTTTCAGTTCTTTCATTTCTGCCGGGGACATTCTGTACGGAGCCTTGGAAACAGGTTGAGTACCCGGTACAATATCAATAACAAATTCAATCTCACGGTCTATCAAGTCCCCTGGCAATTTGTAATAACCTCGACCCCAGATTAACGTTAATTCGTGCTTAGTTAAGCCTAACAATAATTTAGGAAGGATTCGGAACTAATTTGCATGAGTATTGCATGATTTTTGTGTTTATATTTGTTAGACGTAGAAATATCTGTTCATGTTTTTGTTTTGAATTGCGAATTAAAAGCCTTATCGGCACCCGATTTTGAAATTGACTTGATACATGTGCTAGTTAGGATTTATAGAATTTTATGGTAAGTTTAATTAAAATTCGGTTCGAAACGATTAAATTTGATTAAATTAATGCCACTGATCAACCTTGCTAAGCACATTTTGTTTAATGGCCTAATTAAAGCCTTAGTGGCCCTTTTGAGCACAATAACACCCCCCACTCACTCACTCCCTTCTACATTTTACATACACTCTTGAGCCCTCTTAGACCCAAAAACGTGAGAGTAAAAGAATTGGTCCAAGATTTAGAGATTTAGCTCAAATTCAAGGAGGTGCTAAGGATTGTTAGCAATTGAAGAAGATTTGTAGAGCCTCAACCTTCATTTTGTAGATTGGAGCCTCTAGGATAAACTCTCTTTTGAGTAATTGAGTTAGATTCAACAAGATCATTAGTGAATTAAGTGAATTCATATGGGAATTGTACTAGAAATGGGCCATACCATGCATGCATGTGTATTTCCTCACAAATTAAGCATGGTTTCAAAGGTTACTTTCATGCATGTGTTCATTTCATCTATGTTTTGAGAATTCACCATGTTTCCTAACAATTTATCAAGTTTGGTTATGTTTTGGAGGGTTTGAATTCAAAGAGGTTCTTGCATGTTGAATTAATAGCATGTTCATAAAGTTCATGTTGAGTTTTTGCACAAATTAGGTTGCTCTTGGGCCATGATTTCTTGAAATGATTATTCAAACATGTTGTTTTATGGGTTACCAAGTGTTTTCCAAAGATTTGGCCCAGAAAAATGAGTTTTGGATGGTTGAAGGTCGAATTTCATGTTTGGAGGTCAATCTGGATTTTCCAGAAATTTGACCCACGCTCGAGCGGGGACTTTCATGCTCGAGTGTAAAGCCTGAGTACATGCATTTCTGCTCAAGCGGCGAGAGTCACGCTCGAGCGTGAAATCCGTATACCCAGAAGTTTGTATGTTTTGCAGTCCGCTCGAACGGGGGAAGCCACGCTCGAGCGAGGGTCTGTGTCATACGCTCGAGCGGGGGTCGAGCGCCCGTCCAGTGTGAATTTCGCACATCCAACACTTTTTCATGAGTTTGCAGTTCGCTCAAGCGGGGAAGTCCACGCTCGAGCGAGGCTTCGTTTTCTGCATGTCCGCTCGAGCGGAGAAAGCCACGCTCGAGCATGGACCTTATCTTCAGCAAAATTTGAGAAATGGTTTTCAATGCATTCTTGCATCCTCATTCCATCTTAGGCATTCCTAGGCCATGTTTAAGACCCCATAATGAGGATAAGAGATTAGAAACACACTAAGAGCCAACGAAATAAATGTTGTACAATTAGAACGTGTGTTTCAAGTGTGCATCTGTTATGTGTTGTGTAGGTCACGTGCCACGTACCGTTGACCAAGTTTACTCCGTTTGTCCATCTCAAGGCCCATTGTGAGTAGTAACTCTGTAAAGTTATGTTTAACTTAAGTATTTTCTAACTGGTATAGTATGATCTATTTTCTAAAATGCTATCTTACGAGTTATGAATGAATATCCAATTTTCTAAAAAGTATTTGTGCCACCCTTAGTTCACGTGGCCCTCGCCCGGGGGTAACAATACCGCGGCCAATCTGCACATGGCCCTCGCCCAGGGGTAACAATACCGCGGCCAATCTGCACGTGGCCCTTGCCTGGGGGTAACAATACCATGGCTACTTGCGCGTAAGATATGGACCTTTATGGTCGTTGGTACCAACTATGCATGTGGGTCTCTAGACCATATTGATTTGATAGCTAATGGGTGTACCACGTATGATCTTATGCAAAATCTGAATATGAACATGAGTGTGTATCTAAATCTATTTCTGTTTTGAAGTCTGAATATGTTCTGATTTAATTACTGGATTCTAACTTGTGCTGGACATCATTCATACCACCCCTTTACTCTGTAATTATTCATTGGGCTTTCGCTCACAGTTTATATTATGAATGTAGGTGAGCCGAAGTGTAACCAGGGCCAGAGTTGATGGCCTTCTGTTCTGTTTTGTCAGCCAACTGTTGCGCCTCCTGAGGAGGTTCCGGTCGAAGTCTAATGCTATGGTTGTTTTTTGTATTCATGCTAGTCTCTGTATGTGTTTTGTAAAGACAGGTCTTGGGATGTAATACTTTGTAAATATTGGTGTCCTTAGATTGGCATGTTTATGTATATATATAAGTTTTGAAATGTTTCATGCTATGTACGTTATCACAGCTCATTGGACCTCGTCTATTTTGTATTATTGCTTCCGCAGCCCCTTATTATTTGCTAAAATCTTCAGAGGCCTTTGGTAATCCATGAATTACTGGCCGGTTACGGTGCTAAACCTACAGGGGCGGGTTTGGGTCGTGACACAATTCTTCTGGAAATACATCCGGAAACTCACTAACAATTTGAATATTTTCAACACCCACCTCATTTGTCTCTACATGCAAAATGCTACACAAATAACCCCTACAACCTTTCTGAAGTAGTTTACAAGCTTTCATAGCCGATATCAAAAAGGGTGGAGGGACCACTCCATGTCCCACAAAAGTAAACTCTTCTTGACCCAGTGGCCGGAAAACAACTTGTTTGGACACACAGTTGATGGTTGCATGATACTTAGCTAACCAATCCATTCCCAAAATTACATCAAAGTGTACCATGTCAAGAGGCATCAAATTAGCACATAATGAAATATCTCCAAGTAAAAGCTCACATGCCGAATACATAGAAGCACAAAACATATAATCCCCAAATGGGAGAGACACACACAACACATAATTCAAGGGTTCCATAGATCTATTCAAATTAGGAGCAAAGGTTTTCGAAACAAAGGAATGAGTGGAACCTGAATCAAGTAGCACATGAGCAGGTTGGCCATTGATGAAAAGCGTACTTGAAACCACAGCATCGGAATTTTGGACATCATGCGGAACAAGAGCAAAGACTCTTCCTTGCCTAACATTATCTCGAGAAGTAGTAGGCCTTGCCGGGGTCTTTGTTATAGGAGTGGATCCAACTGAACTAGCAGTTGGCCTATTCCCTTTTTGCTGCCCAAACATAGGACAATCTCTCATCATGTGTCCCGTTTTCCCACACTTGAAGCAAGCTCTTGATGCTCGATGACAAACCCCTCGATACTTCTTTCCACATTCCGAGCAAGTTGGTGGTGAATCACGGTTAGACCCTGCAGTGTTGGAAGTTCCCAAATTTTGCTTCTTATTTTGCGAGGATGCCGACCCTTTGTGCATATTGGAACCCTGCCTTTTGCCTTTCCAATCCGAGTACTAGTTGCGGTTAACTTGGTTACCTTCCGCTATAATGGCCTTATCCAATACATCCACATATTTCTATACTTGCAATACATTAATCTTACCTATAATGGAGTCTCGGAGACCTCCCTCAAATTTCCTCACTTTTTTGTAGTCCGTATCAACCATGTACGGTGCAAAACAGGCTAATTCGGTAAATTGCGCCTCATACTCCGCCACTGTCTTGTTCCATTGCTTCAAGTTTTCAAACTCCGCCACCTTCTTGTCTCGGATACTCTGTGGGAAGTACTTCTCATAGAAGATTTTCAAAAATTGGGCCGAATTCATCCATTGATGTCCTTCTCGGATAAGCATCCACCAACGGCGCGCCTCATCCTCCAGTGTAAAGGCAGCTAGCAAGACTTTTGTGCCTTCGTGCATGGAAAGACTTCAAATAATCTCTCGATACCAAGCACCCAAACCTCCGTCTTTACTGGATCAATACCTCCTTTGAACATTGGCGGTTTCATCTTCTTAAATTCCTTTGTGAGAGCAATGGTTCGATCATCAGCTTGATGGTCTTGCACTACAGGTGGTGGTACTGGTATTGGTGGCAGTGGTGGTTGTTGTTGCTGTTGTCTAAAAGCCTCTGCCATTTCCATAATCATTGCCTCTATCCTATCAAGTCGTGTGGAGGTCGAATCCTCCCCATCTTCCGCCCTTGTTCTCGCCATGATCTGAGGAACATGCATTATAACTTTCATAGATAATATGCACATAAGTCGCATATACAAATGTACATTTCCATGTCACACCCGATGTGAATACATTATGGATACAACTTAAAACTTTTCTAGACTTCTTATTGCTCATATGGACTCGTGTGTGAGATATTAACTCGTGCTCTGATACCACTCTGTCATGACCCGAACTTGTCCCTAAAAGTTTGGGTCATAATCGGCCAGTAATCCGTAGATTACTGAAGGCCTCAAACGATCATACAAAATATTTATGCTAATGGGGCCATAAATGGAAGCATGTAATAAATAGAAGTCCATTGAGCTGTGCCAATCATGACCAAAATCATAGGGTTAACCACGTAACACAATTATACAAATACATGCCCATCAAAAATATAAGAGCCAAAGGAAAATCATACACAATGTTTACAACCCAAGACCATGAAAGCAAACACATAATAGGGTCAAAGTGTGGTATGAGCCAAGACAAAACTCTATCTCGGAGGCATGGCTCGATTGGGTCACAAAAGGCTCCTGAAGCTGACTCTAGGGTTGTGCTCCATGCTGCTGATCACCTACATGTGCATACATAAAATTGGGTGAGCGAAGCTCAATGAGTAATAATGCAGTAAAATAGTGTAAGTTGATGATCATAAGGTTCTCTCAATATCCATAATCATATAAGCCAAACGGCTTTAGGCCCAATCATATATCAAGCGGCCTCGAGCCCAATCATATAACAAGCGGCCTCGGGCCCAATCATTTATCAAGCGGCCTCGGGCCCAATTATTTAACAAGTGGCCTCAGGCCCAATCATTTATCAAGCGGCCTCAGGCCCAATCATTTATCCAACGGCCTCAGGCCCAATTATTTAATAAGAGGCCTCGGGCCCAATCATTTAGCACATGTCATATAATATCAATGAAGTTTCATCATTTCCAATCAATTCATAATGTTGGCATCAATCACCGTTCATGGTTCAAGATACGCAACAGAGAATATATGTGTACTATATTACTACTCACCGCGCATTTGGTCTTACGGTGTTGTCTCCGGCACTCGACCTTGGTTCAAATCTATGGTTTGCCCCCTGATTTCCTTCAAATCCCTAGCTTCATCTTCTTCCTCTCTCTCTAACTCACACTATCAAGCTCTCCAGCACAAAAAGGAACACAAGAGGCCAACATATATGTGACTTAGCTTTTTTTTTTTTAAAAAAATTCCAATTTAATCATTACGAATCGAAATTTTTCAAAATCTCACCAAAGGCTCTAAAAATCATGCTAATCATAGATATGAAGTCGGTTTTTGTTTATCGCGCCTCTATGGCTCCCAATTCCAGTTCAAAGTTCTAATTGCAACACATATTCCTACTTTCAATAGATATTTTTCCAAATTCACATATTTCCCATACTTAAACTTGCAAATTCATATCAAACACATAATCACATATATAATTAAGCATAGTGCGGGTTGGGTTATCGCAGTCTTTGACTTCAAGGGGTCGTGGGAGAGGCACTTGCCCTTAGTGGAGTTTGCTTATAATAATAATTTCCAATCGAGTATTGGTATGGCACCATTTGAGGCCTTGTATGGCCGACCGTATAGATCTCCAGTGTGTTAGGCCGAGGTGGGTGATACACCTTTGTTGGGTTCAGAGTTGGTTCGGAAAACAACGAAGAAAGTGGCACTTATCCATAAAAGGTTGATTAGGGCTCAGAGTCGTCAGAAAAGTTATGCCGACCATGGGAGGAGACCCTTGTCTTTTGATGTGGGAGACCATGTGTTCTTGAAGATATCACCTAGGCGGGGTTTAATGAGATTCGGAGATTTAGAAGAGTGTGAAGTTGTCCCCTCAGTTTATTGGGCCTTTCGAGATCCTTGATCGGATCGGGGAAGTGGCTTACTGTCCGGCATTACCGCCACAGCTTTCCGGGGTTTATGATGTGTTTCATATTAGCATGCTTCGAAAATATAAGTCGGATCCATCGCACGTGTTGGAGTGGACCGACTTAGAGGTAAATGAGGATACCTCGTATGAGGAGAGACCGGTGAGAGTCTTGGATACCCGAGACCAAGTTTTGCAAGGCAAGACGATTCCCTTGGTTAAGGTATTGTGGAGACACCACGGGTTGAGGAAGCAACTTGTGAGCGTGAATTGGAAGTCCAAGATAAATATCCGGACTTATTTGTTGATGTTTGAATTTGTATTAAGATTTTGATTATGCTAATGAAATGTAAAAACATTGTATATGTTTTAAAACATAAGAACATTGTATATGTTATGGAATGTTTGGAAACATGGATTCAATATAAGCATTCCATATGTTTTGAGAATATGACGTATTGCGTATGTTGTATCTGTAACAACCCCGACCTGTGATTAGTCTTTAATCCATGATTAATTATGCCTAAGAAGAATTAAGATAACATTCTGAATTTATTTGCATGTGTGTATGACTGTATTTGTATTTCTATCTGTCTATCGTAGAAATATATGTTTGTCATTCTATTCTGTTTTGTGAATTGAAGGCCTTATTAGCATCCGATCGCGAAATTGACTTGAATTATGTGTTAGTTAGAATTTTTAGAATTTTATGGTAGGTATAATTAAGATTCGATTCGGAACGAATTAAATTAGAATAATTAATAGCAATTAATTAGCCACTAATGATATTCTCTAATCAAGCCTATATAAGGCCAAAAAATCACTCAAGAATATTATATACACACTCATTTCCTCATCTCTTGAGCCTACAAATGTGAGAGAGAGAGAGAGAGAGAGAGAGAGAGAGACCAAGAGGGAAGTGATCAACAAGGGACTTGCTAGAGAACTTGGAGGTTTTAGCTTGGGACTTCAAACAATTAACTATTTAAAGTGTAATTGATCATCTAAGGTAAGAATACAACCTTCTAGTTTTGGGGTTGAGTCACTTAGCACATGAATTCAAAAAATTAAGTTGTGTAATGCTAGAATTGAGCTAAAATGAAAAAACATAGATCATACCATGCATGCATGTCTATATCACGGCACTTTGAGGAAGTTTTCAAAGGATTCTCCCATGCATGTTATCATTCTACCTTAGTTTTGAGAATTCATCTTGTTTTCCATCAATTTGTCTCATTTGATCATGTTTTGAAAGCTTTAAACTTGCATCTTTACATGCATGATGTGTAATGTTATGATTTTCACCATTACAAGTTTGGTTTAATTCAATTGGCAAAGCTTTTGGGCTTGATTTTGCAAAATGCTTTTGAATTCACCATGTTTTATAAGTTTGTACAAGTTCCCTTCAGTTTTTGGTCCAGAGGATCTGAATTTCAACTTTGTATTCAAGTCTTGAGCTAAGGAGTGCAATCTAGAAATTCCATGCTCTCGATCTTCTCACCAAACTCCCTGACTCATCGACAATCTCATGGCTGAAGGCAAGCTTGATCTTCTCTCTTCCAAATCGTCCGATCAGTCCTGGACCCCCAAAGGTACTCATTCTTTTCATCTCTCTATCTCCATATATGATTTTTATTGGGTTTGGTTTTTTTAGTTTTATGGATTGGGTCGTTATGTCGTTAATGTTAGGTTGGGGATTATTGATCTGAATGTATTTGAATTTTTGCTGACACTTCAATTTTTTAAGTTTGAAATTTTAGGGCTTCCAAGTCATTTTCGGATTCGTCTCTCGGTGGTGTTTCAGATCAGTTGCCTTGTGGTTCTGCTCTTCACATTTTTATTAATAATAATAATAATTACTCGTACTCTGATTTGCTTTAGTTGTGAAACAATACTACATAATTCCTGTGTTGCTTGATTGCCTGGGAAACAGTTGGAAAGAAAGAAAAATGAGGAAGAAAACTGCGCATTTGTTTGGATTTTAAGTTCTATTTTATTTCGTATGTTTTCTCGGTGATCAAGTAGAACGCTATAAGGTTTATATATATCTATTGATTTTGAGTTTTCAAATCGATTTTTGCTCATTTTGTATTAATATGTTGTGTCGGGAAATCAATGCCATTTTCCCCTGCCTGTTATGAGATCTGTTGGTGCTGACTATTTTGGTATTTGAGATTTGCAGCAAAAATTTAACAAGAGATATCAAGCACACACTTGTTTATCTACATGTATGTGTAAAATCATATATATATTTGGTTTGCTACAATCTTTGCCTTCTCCATTCATGGTTCTTCTTCTTTTCTTCCGCATTTACTGCAACTCTTGTTTTTGGGTGTCGAGTTTTTAAGTTTTTTGTTTTTTTATTATTAGTTTCTGGTTGAGTGTATTTTTGGTTGAGTTGTTGAATGAAATGTGAGAGGCTTGGTTTTCTATTTTGGAAAGAGAATGTTAAATGGTTGTGGTCTGCAATAAAGACTGGGTTTTAATGTGTACCCTCTTTACTTTGCGTGTGAAACTTGGTGCATTATATGAATTATTTTCCGTATATGTAATCTTTTATTGTTGGTCATCTTGCTGACATGTGTTCCTCTTCTCCGTTTCTAGGTATTTTCAGTACACAACGCAGTCTTGAATAATCTGTGAGGGGTAAATGAGTGAAGGACAAGAGGAGAAGACAGTGTTTGTGTCTGTCATTTGGTGAGAGACGGAGACATATCCTTGGACAAGTCTTTGGGCTTTGTTTGAATAGCAGTTCCAGATAGCAAACCCTTGTCATCATGCCTATGAGGCAGATGAAAGAGAGCTCAGAACAACACCTTGTGATTAAACCCCAATTGCAGAACACCATGAATCAAGCTCAGAAACCCCCTAAAACTGCTCAAAATGGGAAAGGACCACCAACCCAAGAGCCCCAAAACACCAAAATCTATAACCAGACCTCACCTCCATCGAAGAACAGAGGGAGGAGGAGGGGGAGAGGTGGCCGGAAGTCCGATCAAGGCGAGGTTTTTATGCGGCCGAGCTCGAGGCCATGCACCGGGGTCCACAAGCCGGCCAGAGCCGGTGAAACAGACATACCAAACGGGTCTATTGTGAATGGGGCCAATTTGTGTGAAGTGGAGATGGGTTTTCCTTCTTCAAGCAAGTCTTTGAGTTTTGCCCCTAGGCCTGGTTATGGGCAGCTTGGGACAAAATGTGTTGTCAAGGCTAACCATTTCTTTGCAGAGTTACCAGACAAGGACTTGAACCAGTATGATGTAAGTGATGATGGGTTTTACATTAAACATTTGTGTTAAATAATACACTGCAGCAAAATTTTTAATTTATTTCTGCCTTTCTCACTGTGACATAACAATTGGGTTGGGGCCCTTTAGCTGACATTCAGTATGTTTGTGGTGTGTTGTTTTCTTGTTATACTTTCTGTCACTTGCGGATAAAATTTAACCGGGAAGGCTTTATGTTTGTCCTTTGCTCAATACTGTTGAAACCCTTCTAGCTATTATCAAATCTGATACCAATTTTTTGGTTTCAATCTTGGATTTTGGGTCAAGAAAAAATATGGGTTTTGGTTTATCTGTGCTGATAGCAATGAAACCAACAGTTCTGTTCTTGGCATGTTGAGAAATTACTACAAATTTCTCATACTGTTGAAATTTGAAAATAATCAAATCTGAACCAAATTTTTAGTTTCAATCTTGTATTTTGAGTCAAGAAAAAACATGGATTTTGGTTTATCTGTGCTGATAGCAATGAAGGCAACATTTCTGCTCTTGGCATTTGCATACCTTAGAACCCTTGGCTTCACATTGTTGTCACTGCCCTTATTATATGCCTCTTTGGTGTCTATGTTGCTCTCAATTGCTTCTCACCCACTTCTTAATCTTCCAATGCTTTTGGGTAAAAACCCAAATAGGACATTTCCAATTTGGTCATTGATTATGTTCAGTCCATATCTGTATTTTGTCCGAGGTTTCTCAGTGTTGCAAAGATTATGGAGTGGGGAAGCTCCTTACAGTGAAATTTGTGAAGGTTTGTATGTTGGAGGTTGGCCTTACTCACCTGAAAAATTGCCTCCTGGTAACCCTGCTATTGTTGATTGTACTTGTGAATTGCCTAGGAATTTGGAGTTTTTAGGACATGCATATTTGTGCATTCCAACTTGGGATACGAGGGCTCCTCAGCCACATGAAATTGAATCCGCGGTCTGGTGGGCTTGTAGGAAGAGAGCTCAGAAAATACCAATCTTCATTTACTGTGCATATGGTATATGCTTTAAACTTTCTGAGTTTCATGTGTTACTATTGAGGCAAACTTGGTTTATGAAATACTTGTTTCTAATCCTTGACGTTCTACTAAATTGCAGATTGCTCGTTTGATTTTGTTATGTTGATGCTATTCGTGAGTGCTTTTTTTTTTTTCCTAGTTTATTGCATCAATGTCTTTTTAAGTAAGGGTTGATAGGGTAGGAAGTAGGCTAAATATGGATTTGTTGTATCAGTGAATGAAATTGGATACTGATTCTTGTATATCAACGTGAGATGAGCTGAACTATATTTTAAAAGCCCAAGGAGTGACAGGACACATGGATTCAAGCTCCATAAAATCAAGCCCTATAACCCTTGTGATTGTAACATAGCCTATGTTTGTGGTGTGTTGTTTTCTTCTTATACTTTCTGTCACTTGCAAATAAAATTTAATGGGGAAGGCTTTATGTTTGTCCTTTGCTTAATAGCATTTATGAGATTTTGTTTTTAAAAAATTGTTCTTATTGCTGTGTCATATACGTGTGTATTATATTGCTTGCAGGTTACTATCACTCCTGAAGTGGCATCAAGAAATGTGAACAGAGCTATCATGGCAAAGCTGGTGAAACTATACAAAGAATCTGACTTGGGGAAGAGATTGCCATCAAGAAATCTCTCTCTTTCTCTCTCTCTCTCTCTCTAATGAAAGTGAATTTTGAGTCAAACTATAAGGGTGAAAAGTGTAACTGACCCATATTTATTTTTTTGTTCTATATTTTGGGTTAGAAATTTTTCTGTTCTATATGTTGTTGACTAGTTTTTTTTATAATACTACTTAAGTACCCCAGTAATAAAATAAAGTCAGTAGTATTGACATTCTTTTCTTCAAATCGCAATTGACACAGTTCAATTTTTATTTAATTAGTGATGAACCCTAAATTTGGTCAATGCTTATAAATTGTTTTATTGTTTCGTGCATGATTGCTAACTGATATTTTGTAAGAGGAGTTGAAGGTTTGTTTCCTGGTGAAGGTCAAAGGGGAGCTGTTGGTGACTATAACAATCTTAAATACCCAAAACTTGGAGATATGCTAGATTATATTCTTAAACAACAGCCAGCATTACTAGAGGCCACAGAAATGAGGGAGGCAAAGCTTCTTTTCCCTTCAAAAACATATGTGGCTATGATCAAATTTCTGTTGAAATGCTTTGAGGCAGATGCAGAACAATATAGGACAGTAGAAAGAATTCTGGAGTATTGGCCTTCAGTGGAGAATATGTGTTTGCTACTGGAACATGCTATGGCATGTGAAGGCTCTGTTGAGTTGCATTCAAATGCCTCCAAGGCACTAATCACTATTGGAACTTTTGTTTTTGATTTATGTTATTTAGATTTGTGAACAACATTATATATGTATTATGCAACATTATACATTGGATAATTTTGTTGATGTATTGTTCTGAATGCCAAAATATTTTAATTATGGATGAATTTTTATTTATATACTGGACTTTTTATATTATCATGTAATTATTGATTTTTTTTTTCAGTTATTTTTCATTTAATACAGGTTATTTTCATATTTTTAATAATTTTAATACAGATTTTTTTTTTAATTTTTTTTGAGACGGCAGAACACCCCGTCTCAAAAAGTAAATTGAACCAGGCTTTTTGCGACGGCACCTATACTGTTGCAAAAGGTAGGGAATTGAATTGAAAAATAAGGCCTTTAGCGACGGTATCATTGTCGTCGACAATAGTCATTAGCTACGACACTTTTGGCGACGGTATTTTTGCCGTCACAAAAAACCCTTTTAGCGACGGCAATACTGTGCCGCCGCAAAAAACTCATATTTCATCCATTATTGGCGATAGAAAATTGCCGTCGCAAAAAAGGCATTTTCCCGTTGCAAAAAAAAAGGCCGCAAAAAGCTATTTTACCATCGCAAAAACCTTTTGAGACGGCGTTTGGGGTATTTGTGACGGCGTTTTGCCATCGCAAAAAATATTTTTTTTTGTAGTGAATGTTATACAAACAAAAAATGCATACATAATAATGTGACTTAACATTTCATTTCAAAATAAAACACCATTGATAATGGATTTATTTACAATAATAGCAATGCTACATCTTGTCAAATTTTTTGTATGAATTTTATATAAGAATATAAATTTTTTTTATAATTTTTTTTTTGGTGAATAAAAATAACTAATAGACTATTTGCTCCCACTTTTTTAGGGTAATACTACTTACACCACCCTTTCAACTCTTTACACCTTTTAGTTTTATTTCTTTTATTGCATTTTTATTCTTATCTAAAATTACCAAAAAGACCTTACACCCTCAAACTTTGAAAACTTTTTCATTACACTCTCATTCTATTACCATCACCTCTACCAGTCCACCACCATCATCGAACCACTCCATTCTTCACCCAACCCCTCTCCAGCAACTCCCACCACTCCCACTACCACGACCTAGTTTCTTGACCCTATCCCTACCGACGACCTCCTATCCAACTCCTCTACCCCAACCAGCAACCCCTTTACCGACGACTCCAACCACAATCACCACCTCTAGCAGCCAAATCCTAGTTTTTTTCCTACCTCGAACTGTAACAACCCCGACCCATGACTAACGTCAATCCGTGATTAATTATGCCTAATTAATGATTAAGGTGAAATTCTGAATTAAACAGCATGTGTGTTGTATTGGTTGTGTTTATATCTGTAGGTGTTGGAAGATCTGTTCATGTTTTAGTTTCGATTTGCGAATTGAAAACCTTATTGGCGTCCAAATCAGAAATTGATTTGATTTATGTGTTAATTAGGATTTATAGGAATTTATGGTAGGCTTAATTAAAATTCGGTTCGGAGTGATTAAATTTGATTAAAATAATGTCATTTGATTAGTAATGACAAATTAGTACCTATAAGGCCACTTTGACACTCCACTCATCTCCTTTCCTTGATCTTAAAACACTTTGAGCCTATTCTAAGGGAAAATCGTGAGAGAGAGGAAGAGTAGAGGGAGGTTGAGCTCAAATGAAGAATTGACTAGGAGATTGAAGCCAATTTTGAAGCTTTGGGTTAGGATCCCACTTGAAATCAACCTTAGGTAAGAACTATACTCTTAGGCCTTGTATTTGAGACACCAAGTAAATGAACTCAAGAGGGTTAGGTGGTCAATTAAGCTAAGATTGGAGAATTGAAGCTCAATGCATACATGCATGTGTAGTTCATGGCATTTGAGGTTGTTTTTCCAAGGAATTCTTGCTTGGATGTCATAATCCAAGCTTTGTTTTAGAAATTCTTCATGTTCTATGTCATATTGTCATAGTTGATCATGTTTTCGAGTTGAACCTTACATTTGGTCATGTTTTGAGAAACCTTGGTTCAAAGAATTGCATTCAAGTCGTATTCATGAATTATTCTTGAGTTTTAAGTTGAATGTTGCTCAATTGGCATACCTTCGGGGCATGATTTCTTGTTATAATTCTTTAAACACGTTGTATTATGAGTTTTCATGTATTTCCCCAAGTTTTGGCCCAAAAAAATGAGTTTTGGATGCTTCAAAAGTTGAGTTTAAGCTTGCTGATTGAATTTGGAATTTCCAAAAATTTGATCTATGCTCAAGCGGGGAACCTCACGCTCGAGCGTGCACTCTGAGTACATGCACTTCGCTCGAGCGATGATGGTTACGCTCGAGCATGAAATGCATATACCCAGAAGTTCTTGTGTTTTGCAGTCCACTCGAGCAAGGGAATCTACGCTCAAGCGAAGGTTTGAGTCTCACGCTCGAGTAGGGGTCGAGCGTCCGTTGAGCGTGAAAAACATGTAACCAGTAATTTTTTTCAAGTTTACAGTCCGCTCGAGCGGGAAAAGTCACGCTCGAGCATACATTCATTGTCTGCATGTCCGCTCGAGCGAGGAAAGCCATGCTCGAGCGTGGACCTTATTTTCAGCAAGTTTTAAGAAATGTTTTCCAATGCATTCTTGCATCCTCATTCCATCCTAGGCATTCCTAGGCCATGTTTAAGACTCCATAATGAGGATTAAAGGTTAGAAACACACTAAGAGCAAACGACATAAGTTATGTATAATTCGATCGTATGTTTCAAGTGTGTATCCGTTATGTGTCATGTAGATCACGTGCCACGTACCGTTTGACGAATCTGCTCCGTCTGTCTGTCTCAAGGCCAACTGTGAGTAATAACATAGTAAAGCTATGTTCAACCTTATTTATTTTCTGTATGATGAAATAAGAACTGTTTTCTGAAATGTTATGTTATGTACAATGAATGATTGTCCAATTTCTGATATGTGTTTGTGACATCCTTAGTGTCATGTGATATGTGTTGGCTGTTACCCGATATCGGAGGTTCCATCATGGAACTTAATCTGTGTGCACTCTGTTACCCATACCGGAGGCTCCATCATGGGGCTAAGCGTGTTTATTCTTTGTTACCCGGATCCGGAGGTTCCTTTATGGAACTAGTTATTCATAACCCTCACGTGTCTGCATCTGTTATGTATCTACTCTGTTAGCGCTTATGGATGTATTATGTATACTTACGCATGACTTATTATTTCTATATATGATCTGGACAAATTATGAATTTGATACGAAACTGAATTGTGAATTCTGAATCTGTATAGACTCATTCATTGAAACCCCTTTACTCTGTTATTGTTCACTGAGCTTTCGCTCACAGTTTATATTATGTATGTAGGTGAGCCAGATCTTGATCAGGGCTAGAGTTAACGGCCTTCATTTCTGTTTTTGTCAGCCAACCGTTGTGCCTCCCGAGGAGGTTCCGATTGAAGTCTAGTTACATGGTTTTTTTTGTACTTATGTTAGTCTCTGTCTGTTTTGTACAGTTGGGTCCTGGACTTTACACTCTTGTAAGTGTTTTGTAATTATGTTATCCTTTGACCGACACGCTTATGTATATACAAGTTTTGAAATATTATGTCCCACGTTTATCGACACAGCTCATTGGACTATTTGTGTTTTGTACATTTGCTTCTGCAGCCCCTTATTATATGCTTATCTGTTAAGAGGCCTTCGGTAATCCACGGATTACTGGCCGGTTACGATGCTAAACCTACAGGGACGGGTTTGGGTCATGACAGAGTGGTATCAGAGCACGTGTTCTACCGTACACACCGGTCCATATGAGCTTAGGATGTCCTAGTAAGAGTTAGGGGCATTCCATCTACATGTGTGAGTGTGTAGTAATCCAAACGAATATGAAAACTGAATGTAAATTTGAGCAAATGAATTGAAAGAAACGAATAGGATTATGCCTATGTTTATTATCATTTAATGTCTCTATAGCAACATGGAGAATGCAAGGAGAATTGATGTAAATGAATCTTCAGAGGCTCGCATGAGCCGAATGGAACAAATGCTTGTAGCATTGCTGAAACTTTGACACAACAGCAAAGACAACAACCTCTGTCCCCTCCATCTCCGCCAGCACAAGCCAAAGTAGATAATAATGACATCATCAACTTGACATAGAAATTCATGAAAATGAAATCGCTGACATTCTATGGTGGAATTGAACCGTTGAAAGCAGAGATGTGGCTACTTGAAATGGAAAAGCTATATGAAGTGTTTCCTTGTTCTGAAGTCCAGAAAGTCCTCCTAGCCACCTATACTCTGAAGGATGAAGCCCGAAGGTGGTGGTTACTGATTCGAAGTGGCAATGGGAATATAACGTGGGCACAGTTTAATGCGGTCTTCTATGATAAATATTTTCCCTAATGTTTCAGGGATCGGAAAGCGTCTGAGTTTCAAGAACTTAAATAGGGAAGGATGTCTATAGCCGAGTATGAAGCCAAATTCACCGAACTGGCATGGTTTGCTCCACATATGGTGGATACTGATTACAAGAAAACACGAAAATTTGAAGGGGGACTGGATTTGGAGGTGTTTGATCAGGTAGGCGTATTGAAATTGCCTACTTATGTGAAAGTTTTAGATAGATCTATAATGGCGGAAGCCACACTAGCCATTATGAAACAAAGTAAGGCCCCAGCAGCTATATAAACGGATTGGAAAGGAAAGAGGTCTGGGTATGGTTTTAGAAGAGGCCGGTCTTATGTTAGTAAGAAGCAGAACACGGGGTCTCCAAGCAGCTCGAGTTAGAG